GTCCTATGCAAAGTCCTGGCTGTGCTGATGGCACCGGTACTTTTAACTGCAGAGGTCTTCGTTCCTTCCCTTTCTCCCCAGTTTCAAGCTGGAAACCGCAGATACCAACATACCCGACTTGGCATCCCACTTCACTGTCCAGCCGCAGAAGGGCGTGCTGACTGTCTCCGAGCGCCCCATGCAGGTCCAGCTGCTCTTCCACCCCAAGATGGAAATGAATATTGAGGAGAAACCCATCCTGCACTGCCAGGTGAGCTGCCCGGGCCAGGCGGTGTTAGCACACCATGTCTTGGGAGCGTAAGCAGGACACGTGTCTTCTGGAAGGAAGGCTGGGGAATCCTCTCTCATACATACGCAATCAAGTCTTTCAGAAACAATTTGTGATGCTTCCTAAGCAGAGCTGAAAACCTGGCTCTGGAGGAGGCGTTTAAACAGGGAGGGTGAGCTGAGGGGGACTCGGGGTGGCATCAGGGGGCAGAGATAGAGGCTGGCCTCTGCTGTATTTACCAACCCCTCCTCCGGTTGCAGGTGATTGAGCCCAGCATCTGTGAAGGAGGCGAGACCATCGCCCTCATCCCAGTGCGGGTGTCAGCGAAAGCTGTGTTCAGCAAGTACAGCATTTACCCTGCCTCGCTCATCAACTTCGGTGCCATGATGAACGGCACCAGGAAAACCTGCACCTTCACGCTGGAGAACGAAGGCATCCTCGACTTTAAATTCCTCATCTACCGAGCAGACCAGGATGCACCTGTATTGCCAAGGAAAAGGTGAGAGAAGACCCGCGCCACCCTTCCTGCCCGAGGAGGCACTGCAGGATGGCTGGCGTGCGACAGGTCATTGTCCCTTTGCGTCACTGGCTTGTGAACAGGGAGCAGAAAGATGCCTCAGCGTCCCCGTGTGTAGGACAAAGCTGGTGATGTCGCTGATCTATCCATAACCTACAGCAATAGGTGCCGCAGGCAGCCCTCCGGGAGCCATCAGGAGCAGGGGGGCTTTCCTCCATGGGGAGGAAGGCCAGCTTTGGCCTCAGAGGAAGGCAGAGGGAGCTCAGCATGATGGATGTTTTCTGCTTTCTCCTCTCAGCGCACATCAAATGAAATCTGCCTGCTCCCACGAGAGTGAAAGCTTAAGCAAAATGACTCCCTCAGTCAAGCAAAGCAAGCACTCGCTGCAAAAGGACGCAAACCTCTTCATGCAGGTGGGTGGCTCCTGCTCCCCGACACACGCCGCTGCAGGTGGTGTGGGAGGATGCTGCTGTGCCCAGGCTGGGGGCTCATCACCATGGGATGGGACATGGTCTGCGCGATGGAGGTCCATCATCTCCCAGCCACAAGGAGAGGCAGGAGCTGCTCAGTCGCACTGACAGTCCCGTGCTCTGGCTCAGACCTGGAGCTGTGGGGTCAAGAGAGGGGAGCAGGTCCTGTGCTTGGTAGCTGCTAGCTAAAATAGGTCTGTGAATATCACAGATGCGGAATGTTCCTGTTTGAACTCCCAGGCCATAGATATCAGATGACCTTGCTTTTTCTTCTTCCCAGTCCCCTCTCTTCTCTCCCATCATTTCTCACGGTTATTTCTGCTCTCCTGTTTTACCCCTGAAGGTTAAAGGATCCCAGCTACCACCTTCACCCTTTACACCCAAATTCCTTTCCCTATGCCACTCAGGACAGGCCTGCAGCTCCTCCTGGCTTGTTCATCTCATCCTGGGGCTGCCTTTGGGCCATGGAGTCATCCCTCCCTGCCCTGGGACTGGGGGCTTGGGCCCGGCTGGAGGACAAGGAGTGGCATGCTCCTTGCTGGGGCTGCTCCAGGTGAGGCTGTTAGACGTCAGCCTCTCCTGGGACTCTTTCTGCAGGCTCGCTTCACTGTAGGCATGTTCACGGTGTACCCTGGCTTTGGCTCCATCCCTCCTGGGGGCCAGCAGATGATCACGGTGGATTGCTACGCAGAGCCACTGGGGACATGCAGGGAGCACCTGTCTATCGATATCGGCGACAGAGACCCCAAGGACAATCCCCTCGGCATCCCCTATACCCTGTTTGCCGAGTCCTGCCTCCCAGGTACGCCCCGTCCACAGGTTCCCATGGCCAGACCTGCTGCTGATCAGCACCTAAACTTACTGCTTGATAGAGAGGCACCCTGACCCTGAAGTCCCATCTTAAAATCCTCAGAGGTTCCAGTCCTTTTCAAGTCCGCCAGTGGCGAGAGGCTGGGAGGGGTGCGTGGAAGGATAAAAGGAAAGCAACACCCTTTAAGACTGAGGGTGACTGAGCTCCACCCTCACAGCCAACTCCCCCACCCAAGGTTGGCTTTTGCAGTGACCTGGGCAGAAAGGGCTTGT